TTAATAATAAACACAATGCAGAGTGGGTATCATACCTAACTTGAGAGGTTCAAACTCAGGTAAATGGGCACAAGCACAGAGCTGATAGAAGATGTGATAGTTTCTCTCCTCACATGCCTAAAACCGGAAACAGAAACTGACTGCTCTAGTGTAAGGCAAGTAATATTTCCACATAAATACAAAAGATTTTATATTTCAGGTAGATGTTTCATATTACTGAAATCAATGGTGACTCTTTCAAACTCTTTAAATAAGTATGTACTGTAGTTGAGATGAATGAGCAGAAGACTAACCTGAAACACCACTCTAGACTTTTCCAGAAGGTACGTCCTCATGTTGGCTCCAATGATGTGGTGTTTCCTGTCAAATCCAATCTCAATATACTTCCCAAAGCGACTGCTGTTGTCGTTTCTCGTCGTCTTGGCATTTCCTATAGCCTACACACAGATGAAAGCCTCAGTATGAGAAGTTTCTTGGAAGAGTTGTAGATCTGTTTGGGAGTTTTATAGGCTAGTAGAAGCTAGCTATCATACCTCCATGATGGGGCTGGACGCCAGCACTTTCTCCTCCACGCAGGCCTCAGCAGAGGAGCCGCTGACCGTGGCGAAGTAACGCATGGCATATTTAGCAGAAACCGTCTTCCCTGCACCAGATTCTCCACTCACGATGATGGACTGGTTCTTTTCATCTCTTACAGGAGGAAAAGGAGAGAATGCATTGTAATTGCCAAAAACTATGGACAGTTGCTTAGATACACTCTATTCTTTGAATCTCTTACTATTGCAAAAAGGTGCGTGCACATACCTGGCCATCTGTTTATAGGCCTCCTCTGACACAGCAAAGATATGTGGGTCCATATCACCCATGTTCTGCCCACTGTAAGCATTGATGATATCTGATCCATATATTGGAAGACTTTCATATGGATTGATGGCAACCAGAATGATTCCTATTTTTTTATTTTAAAACAAATAAATGGAGTTCTGGGTCAAAGGTCACACTGAATTACAACGTATTTTCAGACTCTTTTTTTTTTTTTTATACTCTACATACTGTATGCAAAACAGTCTAATCTAAGAACAGGAGTCCATAACTCAAAGTCTAATGAGCTGTGCAGTACAGATGACAAGCTCAGCTAGGCCACATTTTATGGTTCATATTCACTAGTGATATCTGCTGCACACGGGAGTTCCGAAGTCTACAGGTCAATGCTCAGATGAAATCAAATAAATAAAATAAAATAAAATAAAAAAATAATTTACAATTCTATTAAATAAAAACAACTTAAAAAATGAAACTAACAGAAAATATGTATATCAAACATAAACAGACTAGCCTCAGACATACTGCTTTCATAATGACACTGAACTGAATAGAAATGCAGGTCAATGCTCAGAAATAAAAAAATAATAATCAAATAAAATAAAAAGTGAAATATTGAAAAATCTGATTACATCAAATAAAATTAATTTAAAAAATAATTAATCTGAATTAAATAACATTAACAATTTCAACAAAATAAAAAAAATAAAAAAATTAAAATATGAAACTAACAGACTACAGATTAAACAGACTCAGACATACTGCTTTCATACTGACATTGAAGTGAATAGAAAAGTCTGATCTTTGATTTTAATATATCTAATAAGCAATGTCACAAACCGCAGTAGGTGTAGATGAGTTTGGAGTCTGTGAATCGGACCCGGAGGTTGTGCAGAACGGCTGGTTCATGGAGGTAACTGAGAGCCGTGAGGTCGTTCTCGCCCACCAGGATGTCCGGGTTACGAAGAGGAGGCAGAACACCACTCTTTGGGCCCAACTTGTACTCAAACTCCTGCGAAAAGTTACTTGAGTTCAACTGCAGCTACTGTGGGGAATTAAAAATGCCCTTAAACTGAATCTATTGCCTTGTCCTATAATCTTCGACAGAAGTTATTTGTTGCATACGTTCTGTCATGAGCTCTACTGTCTACATGCCATTGATTTAACTTTTATTAAACCCTGAATACTCCTTTAATGTAAAACAAGCGAGTTCATCAGATCACCTTGTGCACACATGCAGCTTAAACGCTAGTTATGTTGTGGGTAAAACATGCAAAAAGCTTCGGGTATCACTGACACACTTGCAGGAGATAAATTTAGAGGGCATTTACCTCAGGAAAACCACAAGCTAAACTACAGATACTCATCTTTGGCCTGGTGACTGACTGCACACCAGTTAAATGTTACACAGAGCAATGGGTGCAGTTACTGAACTATGCTGGAATTGGAATTCCACACCCATCATTTTTTCCACCAGTCTGACTCAACTCTGCCTCAAACTTGACTCAGTGCTGACTCAAGCAGTCTTCAAAAGCTTTAAACCACCTGATCTGGTCAAATTGGGCATGTTTTCCCTTCATACCCATGGGTATACTGGATCTTAAGCTTTTACAAAACAGGATGTATGTGAAAAAACGTTGATACTCTCACAGTCTCATCCTCCAGCTGTAGATGTAGGACAGTGTCTCTGGGCTTGTAGTCTTTGGTGAGCTCTGCTGATCTCCACACCTCTGTGGTGTCTGGGATCCAGACTCGAGCAAACTGCAGGCGGTCAACATCACGTTAGTTTGAGTAGCATTAGTTTTTTAAATGTAATTCAAAGCAAATATAAAATGATTTAATGCATATAAATAATCGAATTAATAAAATGAATAATACAGTATTTTATTACAATATTTTTTGTTTTCATTTTTTTAAATCAAACGTGATTGTTTTATCAATGCATTCATATTTAAAACAAGAATTACATATTCCTTTTAGGTTTAACATTGTGAAATTGTATAATTTATCTAAAATTAGCGCTGCAACTGAGATATCTGTTTATTTTTTACTTACTTTGCATCTGATTGCTTCATCAATGCATTCACAGTTTAAACAATAAATTAAATATTATTTCTAGATTTAATATTATAAAATGGTCTAATTGACCTAAAATAAGAGATGCAAACCAGATTAAAGTGATTAATTTCCCCCCAACTTTAATCAAGCCGCTGATTGTTGTTATCAATGCATTCCTCGTTCAAATAAATTAAATATTATTATTAAAATAAAAATAGATCTGCAAATATACCTAAATATAAGAGCTGCACCTCCGATTAACACATATTTTTTTGCTTTTCTTTGAACAAGCATCTGATTGTTTTATTAATGCATTCATATTTAAAGCAGGAGTTTAAAATGTATTATATGTTCAGTGTTTGTGTGTTTGAATACAATCCGCTGAATGTTTGATAATTACACAAAAATACATTCAAATTAATTCTATTAGTCTTTTTCAAGTTCCCCACAAAAAAAGTGTTGTATGACTGGACTGTGTGGATGGTACAATGTTGCACATGTACTTTCCACTGCTCAGATGCGAAAGTAGCGGGGTTTAAACTCTCATACCTTCGAGTACAGCTCCGGAGCAGCCATTGGGCTCTGCCTGGGCTCCCGTTACTCCACAAACATCGCAACTCTCTGCGTCTGCTGCGACTTAGAAAACAGACATTGAGAAACGCCAACGTTTCTGCAATCTCTTGGCTGGTGGTGTGGAAGTGTGACAGCCAGCCGCCGGGGAAATACATTGAGTGGCACAGTTGAATAACTAATACCTGTTGTTACCAGTGGAATATAATGTTTTTTTCCGCCAGGGGGCGCTTGGTGGCTCAATGCGCCGCTTCTCCATTGAGCCGCATTTAAATTTTAGGATGATTTTTGTCTCACTGGAAACATGTGCACACAAAATAGTGTAATCATTTAATTAAATTAATTATCAAGACAGACATCTGGCATACAAATGAAAACTCGTGCTGGTATTTCATATGATCTATTCAAAATGAAAAGCAATCAGCTAGTAATCACAACCGTATATGATTGGTCCGTCCTGACCGCCGCTGTGAAAAGTAGCAGGTACCACGTGACAACAACGGAAAAGACTGATACGTTTCTGTAGTTTTATTTTCAATTTAATAAAACAATACAATTAAATGTAAACTGACTGTGAGAAGTATAATAATATTAGGATTATTTTCATATAAAATAAAACATTATTTCTATTTAACTTCCGGGCCACCATACCCCGCCCATTTCATTCTTCCCGCTTGTTGTATTTCAATGTGCCAAGCGTCCTTTCCAGTTCTAAGTATGCCAGGTAACGTTATAGGTACAAACCATTATTTTAATTTTGCTCATTTTCAAGACTGTTGGAACAATGTATTTTCGTATGTTTGACCAAATCTAAGGTACACACAATCTAAGGAAGTTATTTATATATCGCCGTCTTCTCTGCTGCTGCTGTCGTAAAGCTGTTTGCTCTTCATGTGAAGTTGCCGTTAGTCACCGAAAAGAAAAAGAAGGGGAAAAAGGGCGGGAAAGACGCCGTGGCAAGGGAAGGCTTGGAAACAGTGCCGTCTTGTGGTAATTTTGAGTTACTTGCTTACTTTGGCCATATTATAGCCACCTGAAAAAGAAACTATAAGAATGAATGCCATGGAAACAGGGCCATGCATTATTTATGTCTCTTCAAATGTGAATTGGTTATTTGTATATCTATGTCCTCTCTGCTGCCAGGAGCTATTTGTTCGTCTTCTTTGCTTTGGTAATAATAGTCACTTGAAAAAAATCAAACAAAAAAAAGCCACCATGGCAAAGAATGGGCTGGAAAGAGTGAGTTACTGCACTCCACCCAGATATACTAAAAACAATGCATAATTCAAATGTAAACTGGTTATTTGTATTACATGAAAATTCAGTCAGTGAACAATGCAAGCTAAATAAATGAAAGTCTTGGTTAATTTTAATTTAACTAAGACATGAATCAAGTTTGACTAGACATAAAGAGCAAATTTCACCAAACGGCACAATGCTAGTCTCCATTAAATTTGTCGAGATAATTAAAATCATTTTAGTTTTTCAACAGCAAATCTACAACCTGTACTGCAGAGCTCAGAAACAACTACTCGGTCACGCGGCACATATGCAAAACTTAGTTTATTTACAAAACAAATGGCACAGTTGTGACAGTAAACGTTTGTACAGCTCAGGTGTTCTGCCAACACAACCTAGAGAACCCAGCGCAGAGCTCATCAACACACTCCTCAGTGTGGGCAAACAAACGCCACCCGAGAGAAACTGACAGTTTTAAGGTCGTTTTCATAATTAACAAGTAGGAGGCAAACAGCAAATCTCAACGAACGAACTTTAAGAGCGCTTGGATTTTCTTCAGCTCAATCAGCTAACGTCTACGAGGCCTTTTGCTTCTTCTAAGAGGCACAGTTTTGGCAGAAGAGGTGGATGTGATTATTTCAAGTCCAGGCCATGTTATCTACTCATGCAGGTCTTATTTCAAGACAAGCACAGAACAAAGATGATCAAAAAGTGATGGAGAAAAAAAAAAAGTGTAAAACCCTAAAATAATGCTGGTCTGACTTATTTGGCCAGATTCCCATGTTTAAACCTTGCCATCAATACATCGGACTGTACGGCTAGATCCAAGTGCGATGGTAGCAGCAGTACATATACCCTTACTTAAAACATTATATTGAGAGCGTTTCTACAGGCAGAAGACAAAGAGAGAGTCAGAAAAGACAGCAAAAGAAAGACAAAACGATTAAGGCTGAGGGAACACAATGGAGACAGCAGGAATGGCACAGAAGTCCACGCTCGCATTAGACGGCGAGTTTGCTGGCCACCAGAGACTGTTTCCGCTGCGGCAGGTCCTGAGGGGTGGGAATGTGGTCTCCGGTGATCTCCGTCTTCTCCGCCGCTGTTGTCGGGAGCTGCTTGTTCTTCATCTTGGCTTTGGCCATGTTATAGTCGCCCGAGTCGAAGTATTTTTGCTGCTAGGAAGAACAACGTCATTATTTGCAATTAATGAGCTCGATTTGAAAATGTCCTTTCAGAAACATACCCCTTTTTGGAGTCTTTTTCGCAAAAGATCTGACCCCCCGGGCCTGGTCCCGAGATGGGGGTATCGGGCCTTCAGTTTGACCTCCTCAGCTTTTTCTGGACTTACAACAGTGTCCTGCATCTCCTACATTAAATGTGGGATGAAATCCATGTCAAAACACTAATTCTTAAGCAACAGGAAGCAGATTGATACGGTCTAGATAGTTATTTTTTTTCTCAATTTCAATGACAGCTACATTGAACCAAGCAATATATAATGAATTCGACAACTTAATTTCCCCCTCAAAAAGTTATTATAAGCAAATATTATACATAAAATAAAACTATTTACAGTTCTATTATATATACATAATATTTTATTTTACACTTTAGAGCTAATCTAAATACGTTTTCAGCATGCAGTCTGTGAAAACTCAACTGTTCTACAAACACATAACGTACATTATTTAAAAAGCCTATAAAAATAACTTTTAAGTAACGTTAGAGCGGTTGTTTTATATGGTCTAGCAGCTATAAACCCGACAGATGTATGTATGTTTTATTATTTTAACACGAAGTTAAAATTAATCAATACAATCACATTGTCAGATGCGGAATGGCCGCATACAAAACGTTCGAATAAAGCAAACCTGCTGCTCCTCCGTGCTCGCCTCCACTTCACCGGACATCAGGACAAATTAAATGCAACAAAAACAAAAGACAAAAAACAGGACACTCTTTATTCGCCCTCACAGAGCCGTCAGGCGAGATCGTTAACTGACCGTCTGCCGCTGTCTTGAAAATCCTAAACGTTCTTCCTCGAGAGAAACAGGGCGCGGCTCACACGCTCACTGTGAGCTACATCGCCGCCCCGCGGACTGGAGGAGAACAGCGGCATTATGAAAAATACCTTTTGTTTCATATATATATATATATATATATATGATTATTTTATTATATATTTATTATATTTATGACTTATGTAATAAATTTAGAATTTTGAAATGAAAAATTTTACTGAACCATTAGACAAAATATTTAAAAACAAATAAGTAAAAAAAAAAAATCTCTCTCTCTCTCTCTCTCTCTCTCTCTCTCTCTCTATATATATATATATATATATATATATATAAGAAAGTATGATTCTGTAATGTAAATCAATGAGATTTTTATAACAAAAATAGCAGACCGCTTACATAAAATGCATATAAATATCAGTTGTTTTAGTGTCTTAGTAAGATTATATTTAAATGCTCAGTTTTATGACCAAAGCTCTGTAGTTTTAATTGTGGGGTCAAAATATGTACATTCTTCAAAAACCTGTTGTATTTAACTTTTTTTTTTTTTTTTAAGTATGGAGTTGATTCATTACATTTATTTTAAAAAGTAATTAAAGACTTCACATCAAAAGGACACGTAAACCATGACCTGAAAATGTAAGAATTATACTAAAATTATACTACCTTTACTTTCTAGAAAAGTATGAAATATCAATCAGATGACAGGAAACATGGCAGGAGATTATAATTAAAAAAAAAGTAATTTCATTTACTAAAATAAATGTTATGCTATGATTTTGTGCATCAGATTTATCTAAAACAGTTTTAATGTAAGCACACTGTTTATCCAGGCTGGTTAGAAAAGCAAAATCACAACAGAAGCATTTGCATTTCAATCATTTTAATGTACATAATTATCAAAAAATTGTTAGTTTCATTTTCTTACATAATCTACAATGTTAAAAATATAAAGCATGGAAATTAAAAAAAAATATGCTTTTAATTAATTTGAAATAAAACAGCAAATATTGGTCCATGGTATGTTTCTTTCCATTATGAATAAAAATATACACTGAACAGACCACTTTTGATAGTGTAAACAAAGGGTGTGCTTAAATAAAGGTAAATGTGATAAATCATCCTCACGCCACAGTCATTCCTCTTTCTATTCATGGAAAGACATCCACTATACACATCACTGTAATCCCAAATATTCTCATAGAACTGAGAAACTGTTCTAAAATATTAGCAAACGTCCCATTAGTTCTGGAGCCGTGACACTAGATAGTACAGCAGGAAGAAGACCACAACCAAACCGATGGACATGTAACACAAGATCTTTCTGTTGTCTCGGCCGGATCGTACCATTGTGGAAAACCTCTTCACGCTTCCAGTCAACAGGCCAGTTGCACTGAGAAAATTGGAGTCCTGAGTAAACAAGGATGTTAAACACATGATGAGTTACACCCATGTGCCAACACTGCAAACACAACATACAACAATTTCAAAACACCAACCATGCCATCCAAGTAGGTGTTCTGTTCCTCAGCCTCTTTGTCAATGTCATACGCCAGCTGTGAATGAGACCAATAACATTTAAATGCAACAAAATTACCGTTTTTTTTAAATCACATTCTATATAGAAGTCTGGCTTACAGATTTGAGTCTAGAGACTTTACTGGCCAGATTTTCTGCCATCAGCCTGTTATCAGCATCCAGCATGTCATCCACAGCACCATGTCCTGTCAATTACACAAAATTCACTGTTATTAAGCTTTTTTTTTGTGACAAAGTACACGACATGATTTCATATCTGGACACTTTCGTTTTCGAGTTTACTTGCACTAGCAACATCAACAATAAATGTTTAGTTTTTTTTTAGACCGGAGAGGCATCATAATATTGAAATATTACGTGTATATACTAATAAAATAGCTGAAATGAAAACATGACTTTATATTATAAGAAAACTGCTACGTGTCACTTACCTCGATTCCATGGATCAGCCATCTTTAAAGAGCTAATCGGCTAACAACCCCGAAAGACACTCAAAAACACGCCGAATACCAATAAAAACTATTCGTTTTAACTGTAAATGACTTCTTAAACAAAAGTTAACACATAGACGTTCATTAAAAGTGCTGACAGCTGTAAAACAGCGCACATTTGTCTCGAAGCGAACCGCTGATCAGCGGGCAGCAGCAGTCGCTGGGGATTCTGGGATATGTTTATCCGCCAGTCTTTCATTTTTCTAACATAAGGACTCCGTCTGATTGCATAAGCTTCCTAGCCAGACATCTGCTTGCGTTTGCTTTAAACATTTTTTTCGGTTTATATTATTATTATTTATTATTATTATTATTATTTTTAAACGACATTGATATGAAATAAACAGCGCGTGTCACTGTTGTGCTGGTAAGCATCTTTATTTTGTAATGCATAACCTTGGTTATATGGTGGTCATCATAACGACGAATCGCAAAATGCAATAACGGACGAATAATTCAATTTTGATCATATTTGCATGTATAACTGCGCGTGTGCATTTTGTGCATTAAATTAAATATATTTTCTATTGTACTATATTTGAAGTAGATACATTTCCACCCAGATATAAAAGAACATAAAGCAGGGTTTACGATGGTGATTTTTAAGTGTTTTAATATTGATGTTTTAACAGGAGTGCGGCTTGTGATATTTCAGTGCTTGTGTTGAATGATCACAACCACAACTGTCCGCCGAATCCATAATGTACGATCTTACGAATACAATGCACTGCATAAAATGGAAAAATGTGCTTTTAAATGTGCTAGTTTAATTGAAATTATGTACCAAACAAAAGAGGAACAAACATTTCTAAAATTCTAGCAAGTGTTTCAATTCAACTTATTTAAATGCTATAATTTAATATAAAATATAATATCATATAATATAATTTTTTTTGTTTTTTAGTTCTATTTATTAGTTCTATACATAAATCTCATTCTTGTTTCATTTATGTACGATCGACAAATATGCATCACGTTAAGTTTATTAGGTTGTTGAAACCGAAATTCAACTTGATGGAAATCTATATATGTAATTAAAATACATTTATCTTAAATATAGACCTAAATAATTCGGTGAAAATGTTTAACTGTGATATTTATTTGTAATTAAACAAAGTGTTATAGAGACAACCCCTTAGTGCTAATGTAAGTTTGCATTTAAAATTAATTCATTTAATTTATATATGCGTTTCTTTTGTTCTTTTTGTAGTGTGGAGCACCAATCAGCCACAGATTGTCATAATGTTGGCCCGCAAAGGCCTTTTGCCTGATGGTTTCCTTTTGACACGACTCGCAGAGGATGCCACACAACCCAGTCGCATCCGGCCAAAGTCACAGCGGGCACGTTTCATCACCAAGAGCGGGTCTTGTAATGTTGCCCACAAGAATATACGAGAACAGGTGCATTGCACAGATGAACTCTGGTCCAAGCAATTGTTTAAATTCACTCACATATTGTAGTATAATGTATTTATTAGGCAACAGATGCAATACACTTTATTGATTCTGTTGCTTCCCAGGGCCGGTTCCTCCAGGATGTTTTCACCACCATGGTGGACCTGAAATGGCAGCATTCCCTGCTCATCTTCACTTCGGCGTTCCTCTGCTCCTGGATGCTCTTTGCCATGGTGTGGTGGCTCTTAGCGTTCGCTCATGGCGATCTGGAGCCTCGAGATCCCAACGAGCCCGGACCTGTGCCGTGTGTCACTTCCATTCACTCCTTCACGTCTGCCTTTCTGTTCTCCATTGAGGTGCAGGTAAGGAGCAATCTGGAAGGATTTGAATCCAATTGTCGACTCATTGAGAACCAAATGGCTGAGCTTTTTGAACCTGTAATATCAATCATTTCTGTAATATCAGGTGACTATTGGTTTCGGAGGACGAATGGTGACGGAGGAATGTCCATTGGCCATCATAGTCCTCATTATCCAGAACATTCTGGGCTTGATCATCAACGCCATCATGCTGGGCTGTGTATTCATGAAGACAGCTCAAGCCAACCGGAGAGCAGAAACCCTCATCTTCTCGCGTAACGCAGTCATTGCACCGCGGAACGGCCGACCAACGTTCATGTTCCGTGTCGGGGATCTAAGAAAGAGCATGATCATCTCGGCCACCATACAGCTGCAGGTGACAAATATCTTCAACTCTCTGAAAAACAAAGGTTCTTTATTGGCATCTATGGTTTCATGAAGAACTTTTAACATCAATGGAACTCTTCCATTGGACAGAAGGTTCTTTAAATTTTTGAAATGTTCTTCAGAACTGATCACTAAATGGTTCTTCTATGGAATCACTGTGAACCCCCCCCTTTTGGAACCTTTATTTGTAAGCGTGTAGTTCTTCTGTCCAGAGCTTCTTGAGTTGAATTCCACCCTAATCTTGAAGTTTGTTCTTCAGGTGATTCGGCGGACAGTGACTGCGGAGGGTGAGGTGATTCCCGTTTGTCAGCTCGATATCCAGGTGGAAAACCCTCTCAGGAGCAACGGCATATTCCTCATCTCTCCACTTATAATCAGTCACACCATTGACAGAGGAAGTCCGCTGTACGAGGTCTCAGCGCAGTCGCTGGCTACCGAAGACCTGGAGATCATTGTCATTTTGGAAGGTGAATGGAGTGCATTCTCTTTATTGTAATAATTTTAATAGTAATACATTTCAGTCATTTCTAAACGGAAAAGAATTTGCTGCGTGTATAGCTCACTATGTTTTGAAACGGAGCCGATGTTTCTGTTCTACCAGGTGTTGTTGAGACCACTGGCATCACAATGCAGGCCCGTACATCCTACACACCAGAGGAGATCTTGTGGGGTCGGCGTTTCGTCTCCATTATGACAGAGGAGGATGGGCGCTACTCCATCGACTACTCCAAATTTGGAAACACTGTCCCAGTCCGCATGTCAGCCCTCAGTGCTAAGGAGCTGGACCACACCAGAGGTGTGCAAGACAGTGGACCCCATGAGGGTAAACCTCAGGGCTGGGGGCTGGTGAGGGCGGGACGGGGCGGGTAC